GTAAATAATACTAGGGATGCATGTATAGGGCCTTCAAATGTATCTATAATGTCTTTAAAGTTCTGAAGCAGAAATAGATGGAGAGATAGGTACATAGATATAATTCTCTATACCTGGAAATATTTTCAAGTAAAAACACTTTTTAAAAATGTAAAAGAAGGCAGAGGAAAAGGAGTTCCCAAACAATACTGGCATTAAATGTTCTAACAAGAGAAGCAGGAGAAAGAGATGTTAAAGAAATTAAAGGAGGAGAAAATTTCAAGATGTAAAGTATAAATGCCACGTAAGTGAGATGACGAGTCCATTGGATTTGACAGTTGGACGGCTACTGGTAACCATTACCAAACTGATTCAATAGACTAGGAGTGGAGGCCTGATAATAGAGGGTTGAGAATAGGTTGGAAAATAAGTAGAGGGGAGCCAGTGGCTTACTTCAAACGTTCAGTGATGGAGCTGGACCCAAGTGCATAATCAATCTTAATCTAATCCCTCTCCTCTTCCCTCACCTTTTCCCCACACCTTTCCCTCCCATGCCTAATCTACTAGCTGTATGTTGGCTTCTTCCTCAAGTGCGTTCTCTACGTGATAGGAAAGATTGGTCAGTAGCAGTTACAGGTTTACGAGGTCCTTGCAGCAATTTCCAGATGAGGAAAGAATTCTCCCCAGTGTCCAAATCTTTCACACAACAGGACAAATCACCCTCAAGAGTTTTGGGCTTTTATGATTCTGTAGCTTATGATCCTCAGCCATCAAGGGAAGGGATACACCCAGTATCTATATATCATTTAGGTACTTCTTATCTGTTATTGCTAAAATTATATTTCTTTGATTGCTGGTAAGTTTTTAAATGTTTTTGTATCCTTATTAGCCATTTATTATTTGTTACTTATTTTTTCATTAGATGGTCAATTTTTATTGTTTACTGGTAGGGCTCTTTTTTTATAATCTATTTTTGTTTGTTTTTTATAATTTATTTACTTATTTATATTTGGCTGTGTTGGGTCTTTGCTGCTGCGCGCGGGCTTTCTCTAGTTGCGGCGGCGAGTGGGGGCTACTCATTGCAGTGCTCGGGCTTCTCGTTGCAGTGGCTTCTCGTTGCAGAGCACGGGCTCTAGGCGCACGGGCTTCAGTAGTTGTGGCTCGTGGGCTCTAGAGCGCAGGCTCAGTAGTTGTGGCTCAAGGGCTTAGTTGCTCCGCGGCACGTGGGATCTTCCAGGGCCAGGGCACGAACCCGTGTCCCCTGCATTGACAAGAGGATTCTTAACCTCTGAGCCACCAGGGAAGTCCAGGGCTCTTTTTTATGTTCCGGATATTTCACTGTTAAATATACTGGAAACACATTCTTATTTGTAATTTTTTAAATGTTAACGTTTATATCAGCGGTCCCCAGCCTTTTTTGACACCAGGGACTGGTTTCGTGGAAGACAATTTTTCCACGGACTGTGGCGGGGGGGGTGATGGTTCAGGCAGCTTGGGAACACCTGTTGTATATGGTTTCTTGCGTTTTAATTGTTTTGGGGGCCATATCTATCAACATTCACCTGTACAACTTGCTTAGAAAGCCCTGCCTATGCTGAAGTTATTAAATATTTTTCCTCTCTTCTAATACCTTAATTTTTTTCTTTAAATTTTAACTTTTAAACACATTCAGTTTCTTTTGGTGCATTATGAAGTGTCACTCTTATTTCTTCTAAATAGTAATTTGTTAAAAAACAATTTGTTAGATACTTGATCTTTTCTCCTTGATTTGAGGTGCCGCCGTTATCATAAAGGAAATTCCTAGTTATGCATAAGTCTGTTTCTTCAGTATTTATCAGATTCCTTCTATCCTCTTCCTGCACTAATAACACCCTGTTTTAACTCCAGTAGCTTTTTAGCATATTTTGTTATTTGAAAGGACAAATTGTTCCCATGTTTTTTTAATTTAGAATGTTTGGCCATTCTTGTGAATTTTTTTCTTTAATATGAGCTTTAGAATCACCTAACAAATTTTGTTAAAAAAAACACAAAACATTCTGTTGAAGATTTTATGGATATTGCATTGTACTTACAAGAAATTTTGGGAGAACTGGCTCGACAAAAATTATGAATCTTGCCACTAAAGGACATGCATGTTTGTCTTATCTTTCATTATTCACAATCATTATTCCTTCATGACTTTTTGGTTTTGAGGCTTGTTGATTTTTAGTATGTTTTGATATCTGCTCAGGCAAATTCCTCTTCTAAATTTTTTTATTTTTCTTGACTTTCCTTGAGCATTTAATCTTCTATTTAAACTTTAGAATCTGCTTGTCAAGATTTAGAAAATTACAGTAATATTTTGATAAAGATTGCATTAACTTTTTTTTTTTTTTTTTTTTTTTGGGGCGCATTTTTTTTTTTTTTTGCGGTACGCGGGCCTCCTCACTGTTGTGGCCTCTCCCGTTGCGGAGCAGTCTCCAGACGCGCAGGCTCAGCGGCCACGGCTCACGGGCCTAGCCGCTCCGCGGCATGTGAGCTCTTCCCGGACCGGGGCACGAACCCGTGTTCCCTGCATCGGCAGGCGGACTCTCAACCGCTGCGCCACCAGGGAAGCCCTGCATTAACTTTTATAGATTAATTTTTGGAGTATTGATATCCTTATGATATTGTGTCTTCCCATCTGGGAATAGGTAACTATTATTTAGGTTTACAGTTTTCTTCATATAAATCGTACACATTTCTTGTTAGGTTTATTCCTACTTATGTTTTGCTGTGACCGAATGGATTTTTCTTTGAATTGCCTATTGCTGTAAGACAGGAAATTATTTATTTTTATATGTTGGCCTAATCTTAAGCCACTTCATAAAACTAATTATAATTCTGATAGAACTAAACTAAGCTCCGTGAGAGTATACACCTTTTTCAAACACTGTATTCCTAGCACCTAGACAGTTCCTAACCCGTTACATTAACTCAGTATGTTTGAAGGAACGAATGAGTGAATGATAGTATTTTAGTTGATTCTCTTGGATTTCTGGGTAGACAATATTTCCAGTTTTCAACTGTTATAATTATGAAACTTTTAGTAAAGATTGCTTTGTAGATTCATGTTTTAAAGTACCCATTCTCTTACATATATATCAATATTAGAAAAAATAGAAAAAGATACAAAGTTATGATCTCCTGCAGAAATATTTCTCTGTACTTAAAAAAATGTTTATTTATGGAAATTTTAAAATATATACAAAAGTAGAATAGTATAATCAAGCTGCATATTCCCGTCACCCAACTCCTCCTATGATCTCAGCCAATATTACTTCAGATATGCCTCTACCTTCTTCTCACCCCACCTTACACTGGATTATTATGAAGCAAATCTCAGGCATACCATTTCATCCATAAATATTTGAGTATGTTTTCCCATTAAAAAGTACTATTTTAAAGTTATATAATCACAATGTCATTACCATATGTAAAAATATGACAATAATTCCTAAATATCTAGTGTTCAAATTCTCCTGATCCTCATAAATTTTTTCTTTCCTTTAAAAATCTCTTATTTAAGGGCTTCCCTGGTGGCGCAGTGGTTAAGAATCCGCCTGCCAGTGCAGGGGACACGGGTTCGAGCCCTGGTCCAGGAAGATCCCACATGCCGCGGAGCAACTAAGCCCGTGCGCCACAACTGAGCCTGTGCTCCAGAGCCCGCGAGCCACAACTGCTGAGCCCATGCACCACAACTACGGAAGCCCACTCGCCTAGAGCCCGAGCTCCGCAACAAGAGAAGCCACCGCATCCAGAAGCCTGTGCACCACAACGAAGAGTAGCCCCCGCTCACCGCAACTAGAGAAAGCCCGCGCTCAGCAATGAACACGCAACGTAGCCATAATTGAATAGATAAAATAAAATCTTAAAACTGCCATAGTCCTCATGTAAACCAGAAGACATACATACATATATTCCCATAGATTCTTCTTACATTGTTGCAGTTAAACGGAAATTTCAAAGTCTACTTCCCAGTCAACCATATTACATTCCTTTTTTAAGCTGAAATTCTTTCCTCAACCTAAAAAAAAATTTTTCCCCCTTCCAGCCCATGAATGATATAATACTGTCTGGGAACTACTAAAGAACAGATGCTGAGGCCTTACTCTCAAAGGACCAATTTTGGATCAGAATGGAAGGGAAGGAAAAACACTGGAATTCCCTCTAATTCTGCAGGGGACTTTTGACGTTTAAAAAAAGATTCAATACTACTAAAGAAAGACTATGAATGACAGTTTAAGGCATCTGCCCCAGTAGTTCCTGGTAAAAGCACACACATGTGTGGATCCTTATACTGAATTAAAATATTAATACTTTTGGAACACCTATTAAGTCATACACCAAGGAGGACAAAAAGATAAAGAAGACGAAGTTCTCCTGTAAGTGGTTAGATGTCTAGGAAGGGGGAGGTAGATTCTCCCTCCTTTGTCTTAAATGCTAGAACTGAAATAGAAAAAAAAGAGCTCCTGGTAAATGCAATCGGGAAGCCCCAGTGAAAGAACTGGCCTGAGTTCAAATCTTTATGAATCGGAGGTGTCGATCGGGGGAAACGGAAGAAGTGACAAGACAAAGGGATACACTACTAAGTGAAGAGAACTGGAAAAAGCAAGGCCTGGGGCCCCTGAAAACTGCGTGGTCGTGAGTTCGTAAAAGGTAAAGGCTACGTGTCCCGGTGGACATCAACACCGTTAGCGTATTTAGCGCTGGAGAAACCGGGGCGGCGGGCTTGGACTCGTCGTTTCAGGAGTCTCCCAGTAGAGGGCGCCATCAGACCGCGAGTGCTCAGCCTGACTCGGCCTCGGAGGCGGTGCATCCTCAGCCCGGGGGCGGGGCTGCCGCGCTCACGTGACCCTTGCTCATGGCGGCGGCGGCAGCGGAGGCTCTGGTGGCGCTTGGCGGCCGGAGCCGGATCCTGTAGCCGGGGTGTGGGCTCGCGTCAGTCCGTCCCTCTTTCGGCCCCCTCGGTTGTCTTCCGGAGTGTGGCTGACAGAGCCGGGATGGCGGAGCGAGGCCTGGAACCCTCGCCGGCTGCGGTGGCGGCGCTGCCGCCCGAAGTGCGGGCGCAGCTGGCGGAGCTGGAGCTGGAGCTCTCGGAGGGTAGGAGACCGGCGGGGGAGCGGGCGCCCGGGCGCCGCTGCGGATCGCGGCGAGGGGAGACCAGGTCCCCGCCGCGCGCCCTGGTGGCCGTGCGGGCAGAGTGGAGGAGGGTGCCGGAAATCTGGCCTGGGCTCTGAAGGGTCGCTCCTCTTCTCTCTCACTCCGGGAAGTGGGTTTCCGTGTGATTCATTGTGTTCCTTGGGAGGGGGTGAGCAGAGGCTTGGAGGAGAGGTCCTCCCCAGGCCCGGGCTGCTTCTGCGCTCCCTGCCCCCCAAAACCCGAGACAAAGCTGTGTCCTCCCGCTTCAGGCTTCTGCCCGGGCGCCGGGGCACGGTGGGGGCGGGGCGGGGGTGAGGCCGCCAGCAGGGTGGCTGACAGCTTTCTCCTGTCCTCCTCTACCCTTTTCCAGGGTAGGGCCCTAGCCTGTTTCAGCTCCCCTTCCCCCCCTTCAGAAAAAGAGAAAGACAGGGGAAATCCGCCAGCATTTCTTCTTCCTTCTTTAACAATGCGAGATGCCTCCCTAGTGACAGGAGAGAGAGAGAAGCGGGGTGGGCCGTAGAGGGTCCTAGGGAGGCCAGAAGAAGTGGCATTAACACAGAGAGAGACACACAGGGTTGCTTTTAGAACACTTTTGTCATAAGTGTTTTTTTTCCTGGTGCCTGTATTCGGGCTGAATTGTCCGCATCTGAGCACCTTTTGGTCTTTGAAGAGGGAAGGAGAGAGGTGGCTACCGGTTACATGCAAATCCTGGCCGGCACCGTCTTTCTTTTGTTAATGGATTGTTACCAGGAGGGTTGGATTGGTATTGAGAATTAAAAGAATGGAATAAGTCGAGCCACTATTATTAGAGAAGTCCCTGGACAACAATGAGAGAAACGTTGCTCTGTTGTGGGCATGTGATCAGGCTTCTTGTGCAGTTGTGATCAGTTCTCCACAAAGTTCCTGTTTTTATCACAGGCTGCCTCTGAGACAAAAGCAGCATTTTCTCCAAGCTTGATGTCAGTACTGTGGTGGTGTCCCCAGAGTTGCATATTCTTATTGAGTTCTTTGCCAAAGGCCCTCTTCGCTAACATTTTTCAGGTGGATTAAAAATTGTTGGTTGGAAAAGAAGAATGTGATAAGTTCCCAGGAGAGTTCTGACTTTTTGTTTACTTATCAAGGCATTCTCTCTCCCACCCCGCAGTCCTTTACAGTGAAAAACCAGAAGTAGATTTGAGTGTTATAAAGCCAGTTGGGCATGGAGGGAAATAATTATTTTTAATAACCCTGTTAGGTTTTCCCAATGTATAGGGAGGTGCTGTTTTCATTTGCACTTAATTATCAGCATATTTTTTTTCAGTTAACCAATTGGGAAGTCATTCTTTGGCCAGTCTCCAGAATCAGTTGTGGTGGGTGAGTTTGTTTCTGTGAAATGTTTAGGGCATTGCTATCTTGGTTCTGCCTCTCAAAAAACCTCATTCTTCTGGACTAAAGCATTGTCATTCAATCCGTGATGACTTTCATTCAAGTCAGACTTTTAAAAGTTACTTTATAGTATCACATCAGCTATCTTTGATTAGCCAGAAGGAGAGAAGTTTGTCTGGATGTTTGCATCAGAACGAGATTAAAAATAGGAGTTGATTGCTTTTACATGGAGAGGGAAATCCTGGAAGCTCTTTATTCTTGATATATCTGCTTCCAGCTTTTTATCGTTTACTTCTCTGGGTGTTTCCAGAGATGATTCCAAGGAACTATTTCTAGGACTCACACTGATTAGCCAAGCCTTCAACATTTTTAAGGACAAGTGCATGGTTTGTTTTCTGATGCAGGGTTGTTTTGCTTTGGCGTGTAACTGAGTTTGAATTGGTTTCTTAAAGGTTTATACTACATTATCCTGTATTTCATCTCTTTTAGAGATGGAAAACGGGAAAAAATATAGTTGAAAAACCTCGGACCTGCAGTGTCAGCATCTTGGCCATCTGTCTGTCTCTCTTGCTTAAAAGTACAGAGGATGGTTGACTGGAGGAGTAGGTAGACATTTTTAGGAATTCAAGTGAAGTTGAAACCACCAACAACCCCCAAATCTATAGCATGCTATTTGTGATGTCTGTACCATATTTTGAAGGGACCTTTGTTTGTTTAAAATTTTCTCTATGGCTACTGCTCTGACAAAAGTACTTTTTTTTTCTGGGAAAAAAAAAAGATGCTTTTAACTTGTGTTCATTGTGTGTTGTTGGCTTTGGTTGCACTCATTCCTCCATTTTATTCATTTTTTTAGGTTCAGGCTGTAGTTGGTCCTAATTATAGCGATCGTCTGAGCTGTATGCCATTAAAGAATTTTCTTTGTGCTCGCCTGTATTTTCAGCTGCAGGCTCTGGTCGAAGATGAGCCAGCTCTGCGCTGGAACGCAGGTTGTGCCACCCTGGGCTGTTTGCCGCAGAGTGCGTTGCAGAACCCAGTGCTGTGGCTGGTGCTTCATTCAGGCAGGTCACCATGGACTTGGTGCTTAAAGCTGCCTGCTTTTGCACCAAAAAGAACAGCCTAGCACTGTCCAGAGAATCATTTAAAATTGAACTGACACCTAATCATAAGCTTTTCTGTAGACTAATTGAATAGGCAGGAGGTTTCTGCAAGTATTCCCATAACTGAAAATTTTTTCATGATTCACATGTATTATTATATTTATTATGTATTTGGTAATAAGCTCTGTTGTCTGAACTTGAGTCATATGTTTTAGTCAAGTGTATGCACATAAAATAACACTAATGAGGGGAATTTGTTTAAATCTGTCTGATAATTCATTGTATTTGTGTCATGATCTTATGCATTATGTCGTTTGAGTCTCACTGCAACTTTGTGAGTGAACAGATGTTATTAGAACAGATGTTATTAACACCTGTTAATAGTTTTTTGTTGTTGTTTTGGTTTAACAGAAGGGAAAAACTAAGACTCAGAAAGGTTAAGTATTTTGTCTAAAGTTGCTCACTAGTAAGTGTGTTATCTTAAGCTGACATGTAATTATGGCATCTATTACCATCGAATGATTTAAATATCTTTACGGTTATTGCACAAGCTATTAACTCTAATTTTTACTCTAAGCAAATGCTACGAAATAGTTGTATGCCACAATTCCAAAGAGTCTTGTTGATTCTCTTTCTGAAATCTCTTTTAAATCTATCTTTTACTTATTTGATTCAGCAGACATTTATTTTCTGCTTACTATGTGCTAGGGATACAGAGGTGAGTATGGTACTGTGTTAGCTTTCAAGCAGCTCTGAGTTCGGTAGGGAAATCACTTAAAAATACCAACAAAACAGTCCATGAGACAAAACAGTACATGAGGGTTCTGTACAGAAACTGCCTTCTAAGAAAAGAGGAAGCTGTCTGCTTTGTCGTTGTGAAAAAGGAACAGCAGAGAACCTTAAATACAAAACTGGATGCTGGTAGAGAAGTCTGTGATTTAGCTCGTGAAGTTGTCATAAGTGTGAAGGAAAGAAGGCAGTCTGTGGCAAATTAGAAGGGGTGCAAGTCTTTCAGTGCCTGAAAACAGTCCCAAGATGACAACTGGAAAGGTATTTAAGATAAAATAACACTTACAGGAAGGGATCCTCCCTTTTCTTGTTTGAACACTTTTCTGACCACAAACACAACAAACCCAGTCATATCCTCCCTTTCTCCTGTCTATTTCATCACGTATCTCAGGGTCTTCAAAGAGTGGTACAGGTCCACCTTGAAGGTGGAGGGGAAAGAGACAGCTGCTTCGTAGGAGTTGAAGTGAATCCTCTTTAGGAGTTGGGCAGAGGTGGGGGAGTTGAAGAGGAAAAGGGGGAGATGCTGAATTGAGATTGTATTTCACAGTGTTCAAAGTGGGCAATTGGAATTAAGCCGCTAGAAAACTGGTAAATCCTTCTTACTTTACTTATAGTGGGAAAGTGGGCCACTTCCCCCCACATATGTAGCATAGTCATTAATTCATAAGAAACACCTTTATCAGAAAATTATGTCTAAGCAGTTGTCATTCCTAGTGTTAGGAGTATTAAGGAAAGCAGGTGTGTGGGTTTTTGAAAAACCAAAACTGGGCATTCTCTAAGTGATTTATTCTCTGAAAGTTGCATATCTATATTTTTGGTGGGCTATACCCGCCTTATGTTGGAACTTACCTTTAGGAATTGCTTGTCAGAGCCTGTGACACATTCCTTTGAAAATCCTCATAGCGGCAAATTTTAATTCTTTGAGGGTAGAGTTTCATTTTATAGGTTACTTGGTGTCAAGTAGAGAAAAGCTGGTTGATGTTCTTCTGGAGTCCAAACTAGCTGTGAATGAAAAAATTAGAGTGATTATAAATGTGTTTTATTTGTAACTGTCAAAAAATTAGAATGATGGTAAACTGGTTTTGAGGGTAGTTCCAGAATAGTAGTGACAGACAAATTCACTGGAAGAATGATTCACTTTACTGTAAAGGATAGCGCTTGTTTAGACACCCTAGTTCTATGTATTTTGAAAAATTAATCTTGTTGTTTGACAGTCCATAACACTGGGCTGGATTTTTTAAAAATACATTTATTTATCTATTTATTTATGGCTGCGTTGTGTCTTCCTTGCGGTGCGTGGGCTTCTCATCGCGGTGGCTTGAACCGTTTCAGAGTTTGGGCTCTAGGTGCATGGGCTTCAGTAGTTGTGGCTCATGGGCTTAGTTGCTCCGCGGCATGTGGGATCTTCCCGGACCAGGGCACGAACCTGTGTCCCCTGCTTTGACAGGCGGATTCTTAACCACTGCTCTACCAGGGAAGTCCCTGGATTTTTGAATAAGAGAAATCTTTAACCCTTCACTCTCAGCCCAGCCCTTGGTGGCTGCTTTCTTTCCTGGCCTTTGTGAGGATTAGCACCTCAGGGTTGAAAGTTCAGATGATTGGCTAAAAACGGCCTTCACATGTATTTGTATTTTAATGATTATAGTTCTTCATGGTTCTTTCTCATGATTAATCAGGAATGGTCTTTGAAACACTCCTTCCTGCTTGTCT